GCGTGTTTCGGTGGGGAGGGTGGCGGGGAAGAAGGGCCCAGGCAGGGGCAGGCGGCAGGCGGCAGGGGCTTGCCGTCCCCCCGTGTCCGTGAAAGCGGTCCCGGTGGCACCCGGTCAGCTCTTGCGACGGACACCTTTGCAGGGCCGTGGCTTCGGCCCTCCGCGTTCGTGTAATTTTCCCGTGTTTCTGGGTCTCGTACGCTCGTATAATACACGCAATGCTAGACGGGTCCAGGCTGGGGAAAACAGGGCTGCGGGGCCAAGGGCAGTGCGGGTCTTAACTTCTGTCTGATGTGCTTAGCTAACGTATTAACTGTGAGAAATACCACCGAGTTCCTCAGAAAAGAAAATATCATCAGATATTTTAACATTTACAGGCTGCAACATCAGCATCGGTATGAGCTCAAGAACTAGCAGCGCTTACCGTCCCCGGAGGAATCGCTTGTATTTTTTTTTCCTGTAACTACTGTTCCCAAGCGTGGATGTATACACACACACACGCACACACACAAATCCTATAAATGCTAATAAAACAGATTCCTCAGGATTTGTTTAACTTTCCCTGGCACCACAATCTTATATTGATATTCAATGGGGTTACCAGTGTGCATGAGGATTACTAGTTAAGTATAGTCTGCGGGATCAACCTTCTAGTATGCCACTTGAACATGTCCTTACAAATAAGTAAGGTAGGAAACGTAAGCATTGACAATACGATTAATTAGCACTGAACACTTGAAAGGGAAAAAGGAAGTTAAATCATGGTGCTAGAATTATTCAACTATGCAGAATTGAGGCCTCCGGTTGCAGGGGATCGTTTTCAGCTCTTTACTTGAAGCTGTGTTACTGCTATTGTCCAACCTTTGCTGGCCACATGGGACGACGATTGGCAATCGGACAGAAAATTATTTATACTGGGCATGAACTGGAAATATCCAGCTGGGGCATGGATCCCATTTCTAATCAGAGTGGAGGGAAGGAAAACTCAACGCTCCTTCTCGTTACTCAGAGTTTTTAGAGTTTGTCAAAAGCGGCTTGAGCTAACTATCCAGAAAAATACTTGCTGTTTGAAAATGAAATGAGGATTTTTTTTCATTAGAACTAGAAAATCTGTTTATTTTTTTTCTTCTGTACATGATGTAGAAAAGGGTACACAGTGTACATAATGTACAGTGCCTGTATATAATGTACAGTGATAATATAGGCATGTGACACTGCAGGAGCTGTCAGAGTTGATGGACTGATCCAAATGGATGACATTTGCAAGAAATATGTCTAAGTTGAAAACACTGAATGCTCATGTTTGGATCAGGTTTTCAATTTCAGTTTTCTAAGGAGAATAAAGTTATTTTGTTAAGGCCAACTTCATTTTTTTTTTTCCAACTGGACCTGGAATTTGATGAATTTTCTGAAAGTATTTTCATAAAACTCAGATAATTGATATTAATTATGCAGCCCAAACTTTCATGACCAAACATTTGGTTCTGCTAATATAAGCTACAAACCATATTTCTTTTAACTACAGTAGATAGTTTAAAAGGTGAAAGCTGTCCTTGGAAACAGGAGAGGGAATGTATCAATCATAGAGAGGAAGCTTCTAGGCTGAAGAAATAGGAAAAACCTAGTATGAAAAGCACACAGTAGAGCGTTTTTGCTCTATTTGTCTGAAATCCTTTGAACGTTATGAACGTCAATGTAAGTATTTTTATTTACTTTAAGTTATGTTCAGTGACTTGAACTTGTTTTCTCAGTGGCCCTCAGCTTGTATGAATAGTGTGACTAATCTAGTGGAGATGAGTAATGGATCTGTGAGGAATAGAGGAATTCCGATGCAAAAACATCTCTCTTTTTTGGTGGTATTTTATGCTGCTTGGCATTCAATATATTATATAATGGCTGTCAGAAGAACTTTGGTAATACTTTATGGTAAAGTTTATAAATACTTTAGTCATGATTTAGAAATGATGAATGGAAAATGCTATTTATACATCATTATGTGATGTTTTACTATGTTGTAAGCGCATTCATAAGCAAATACATATGCTCTTGTTAATTACTGTACTTTTGGTTTGTTGTAACATCCTGATTCAATATTTTTGTATTTGTCCATTGAAAGCTTTGTAACACGTGTAATAGCTTATTGCTAAATAGGTATTTTACCATGTACGAGCAGAGAAATTTAAGTCAAGAATAATCTATTCACATGGGACTGGGACATTATTGCAAGGGAGAGGGGATGGAGAGGGGAAGCAGAAGTTGTAGTGAAGGTTGCTTTTGCGAACATAAGACCTCAGTCCTGCAAATGAACATGTACCAGCCAACTCTCCAAGTGATTAGCTTAAAACAGTGTGAAATACTCACAGCAGTGCAGCCTCAACAAGGCACGACAGGGCACTGACAAGAGTGGGAAGAGGGGGTCTGTCTCCTTCCTCGTGTGGTCGAGCTGATTGGGGAAGGTGTCCTGATTTTGGCAGGGATAGAGTTAATTTCCTTCCTAGTAGCTGGTACAGTGCTGTGTTTTGGATTTAGGATGAGAATAAAGTTGATAACGCATCAATATTTTAGTTGCTGCTAGGTAATGCTTACACTAGCCAAGGACTTTTTAGTTTTCCATGCTCTACCGACTGAGAAGGCTGGAGGTGCACAAGAAGCTGGGAGGGGTCACAGCCAAACTGGCCAAAGAAACATTCCATACCATGTGACGTCATGCTCAGTACATAAGCTGGGGGAAGCTGGCTGGGGGGGGCCGCTGCTCGGGGACTGGCTGGGCATCGGTCAGCGGGTGTGAGCAATTGTACTGTGCATCACTTGCTTTGTGTATTATTATTATTATATTATTATTATTATCATTTTATTTCAATTATTAAACTGTTCTTATCTCAACCCACGAGTTTTTCTCACTTGTGCTCTTCCAATTCTCACCCCCATCCCACCAGGTGGGGGGGAGTGAGCGAGTGGCTGCGGGGTGCTTAGTTGCCGACTGAGGTTAAACCACGACAGAAGGTCTGGCGTGGGCACAGGAAAAGCGAGGATTCACAAACTCAGCTCTTGGGGAACTGGTGGTGTGGTGTCAATGGACGTGATCCCTTTTGGTTCAAAAGGTAGAGCAGAGAACAGCCTCATACCACGGGGTATGAGTCTTGTTTGAAATAGGTTGCAAGTTTCCCAACCTTCATCCTTGCAGAGTCAAGGCTTTGCGAGTGTGTAAGGAGCCCACGTGAGCTGACTTCACTGAAGGCAGAATGCAAGAGGTGTTCCTCACCTCTGCTCACGTCTTTCCAATATAAAAAGAGACAGTTGTTTTCTTCTGGTCACCATGAGATTCCCCAGTAGCAGTGAGATTGAAAGGTTATGCCATTTGGACAGTAATCACCACAACGCAATTACATTCGAGGCTAAAACATTTCAAAAACGTCCTCCATGGGCACACAAGGCATTTGCTTGTATCAGTAACTCACTCCTCAACAAACCAACTCCAGCGGGTTTTGTATCTGAGCTGCTAGTCAGTCAGCAAACGTATCTGAAAGTGGAGCTACTGTCAGTATAGGAACTTACTGCTATTTTTCATTGTTGTTTCCAGCTTTGTCAATAACTTGGCATGCCTTTTTCCTTTGTCAGGCTTCATATTATCAAGGTTTCCATGCT